TGCTTTCAACCCACCTTTGCCGTCTCCTCCAGCGGTCCCGCGGCCAGGAACTTGGAGATGAGGAAGTACAGCTCTGCAAGATAGGGAATTTCACGGGTTTTAGTGCAACAAGTTGTCGGGAACGCGCTCGCAGGGAGTCCCCAATATGCCAAATATATCTGGCAAAAGGGGCCCGTGCATTTCGCTTGGCCAAACGCAGTCGAAAAAACGCAGGCATTCGATTCGAAGGGCGAGCGAAACACAGACACACATTATACAGAGTCAAAGGGGCTGCGTTTCGGGGCTCCAATGGGGGCACTCGCTGTGCCATCGGGCGGTACGCACCTGGCTTTAGATCATCACCGGAACTGGGCTGTCTAGTTTCCATTATTCATTGCGAATTGCAGCTCCGATTATGACAAAATTGCAGTTGCTTTCTTCTAAAATTCTTTTCGCAGCTTCTTCTTCCCGTGTGACACTCAATTGCCATTCGCCACGAATGGCTTGCGCAGGCGTATCGATAGTTGGTGAAGGGGTTCACGAGGTGGCTATCGACTGTCAGCCGACGGGGGCAATTTTCGTATTTGAATTTGTGAAGATGCCCTGAAGTGCTTCGCAGGTTTCTATGATCTGAGATATTTATATTATGATTAATTAGTCATACTCTTACAATAATCCAAATATGCCAAAGGCCTCGAAAAAATAATCGGAGCCATTCGATTGGAATTTAAACTTTTTAGTTAATTTATCTTTAGTAGTTTAACGAATCAATTAATGGCTTACAATTATTCGATTTTAATTTAACAATGTCATTTAATTGCTACTTTACATAATTACTGAAAAATAGTTGTATGATTTGATAAAATAAACGGATATTTGTAACATGTACAATTTTTTTTTAATTTTCAAATTTTCCCATTGGTATCGATTATTTTGAAGTTATACTGCGCTTTATTCTGGGTGAATGGCAAGGACAATTTTAAATAGTATATAGTATTATAGTATAGTATTAACTATAAAAAAAATTGCAACAACTTATTATTTGAAAGCTATGCAGAAAATACAAATTTATATTTAAATACGTATATTCAATCGTGAATACCCCAAATGTCAAACGCACACCACTAGAAGTGGATATCGGAGCAGCTGCGATAATTATTTTTTTGGGAGATTTTGTCATTTTCTCATGTAACAAAAAGTGGAATTAGCCACAAAATAAGCAGAAGTAATAAATGCTCTCGGTAAATAAATAGCGGAAAAGGCGATAAATAAAACAGCGAACATGGAGTGCAATCTGGGCAGCGAGATTGGCCAGAAGATGCGAGTAAGTTATTGGAAAAAATCAATGAACTCGTTATGGATACCACTCAGATTGGATACTCTAATAATATACATATGTTTTTGCACTCCATTAATAGAGCGCCGTAAAAGCAAAGCTGCTGGAGCTGGGAACCGGCGGATCGGCCGGTTTTATAGACGATGAATTGCCGGACTACGTCATGGTCATGGTGGCTAACAAGCGCACCAAACAACAAATGAACGCCGAGCTGAATTTATTCCTAGGCGATCAGACCGACCTCTTTGTCACCTGGCTGCACGAGGTGCTGCAAAAGCTCCAGGAGGTCACACTTCCCACATCCAGTGGTATGTTGGATAAGCTCATCTTTCTGAAGCACCCAATAACTCCCATTTTTTCAGCTTCCAGCAAGAAGCGCAAGTCTCGCGGCCAGGGAGAAACAACAAAAGTCAAGGAAAAGGAGAAGGACAAAAAAGGCTCCAAGAAGGATAAGCGTCCGCACCGAAAGTCCGGAGATGAGCTGTCGGAACCACAGTCAAGTTCCGCAGATGCCATGCCCATCATCAGCTCCATCACAGATGTATTTGCCGAAGAGCTACTCGAGAAGGCAAAGAAAACTATGGACATCGATCTCAGTGCCAAAGACGAGATCCTGCACAAAAAGAAAAAGCGCAAGTCCATCGAGGATGAGGATGCATCGTCCAGTAGGGCACTAGATGTGGCCGCTGTGTCCGAGATCAGCTCAACTACTACCGGTGTTAACCGGCAAAAAGATCTAGCCGAGCTGGCCGAAATCCAAAAGAAAATTCATGCAGCCAAGAAGCATTTACGCCAGATTGGCGAGATCGGGGATGAGAGCGATGAAGACGATGAGGATCTTTTGAACTTGAGCGCGCGGGAGGAGTCTGTAGACCAGGAGCCAGACGATGATCCCCCGCAAACGGAGGCGCCACCACGAAAAGCTAAGAGTCCCATTATTTTTAACAGACGCGAGAAGACACCCGAAAAGGGTCCAGAGGCAGAAACAGATATCAATCCACGCCAGGAAGAGGCGGAGGAGAAGAGCCCTACAAAAGATACGGCAACTGAAAAGGCCAAGGAAGACCGGTCTGAGCGGCGATCAGTGCATGACCGTCTCGGTTCAAAGGCCCAAGCGCCAGCAGAGCGTTCACAGCGCAACCAAAAGGAGCTTTATGTGCCGGCCCATCGGCGACGCAGCGAACCCGAGGTCAGCAAAGACCGCAGTCAAAGGGAGCGCTCCCGAGAACGACGCTCCAGCCGCGATACCTCTAGGGACACCAACCGAAATCACCGTCAGCGTCGTTCGCCTAGTCCAGAGGCTCCAAGTACAAAGCAACGCATTGGCTCCCGGGTTATTGTGGCCGTAAACAAGCCACCTGAGCCGTCGGACGATGAGGACATGGCCGACAAGCCAGTCAACTCCGTGATTAAGATCAAGCCCAGGCCAAATGTTTCTCCCAGGCGACAGGCATGCAAGAACCTCCTATTGCGAGCCGTGGCCGACGCCCAGCGCTCCACAATTCTGGCCAAGACTTCGACAAAGAAGGAGGACGAGGATGTCGGCAAGATCACAAGCTCTCTGGGCAAGCGCAAGTCGGTAGATAAGAGTGATCGAACTCGTGAACGTGATCGCGAGAGAGACCGAGGCAAAAGGAGTGCACCAGGCAACGAACTCTTCCGGCGCACCACTCGGGAATTAGTGGTAAATGTGACACAAAGGGACGGCAAGCGTACACGGCGATCCAACGAGAGTCGCGCAGAGATCAAAGTGGTGGAGGAAGAATATACACCAAGCCTAGTGACTGAGCAGGTCGAGACGTATGTGCCGCAGTTGCTGACCAATGTGGATGAATTGGATTTGCACATCAGCTCCCACGACGAGCCAAGTCCCAGTTCCGGAGCCCTCAAGACTCAGTTTGTGGTTACGTTAAACGGCGACAAAGCTCTCGGAGGCAACAATGGTAAAGGAGGCGTCTTTCGCAAGCGGCCGAGCAACTCACGTAGACGCTCCTCCTCGCCAGTTTCCACCCCACAAGTGTCCTCCTCCAACATTGAGCCCACGTCTACGACGGCTGACAAGCGACGCCGATCCAATCGGGATAGAAGCTTCTCGCCATCGCCGAGACAGAGCAGTGGGTCACCCTCCCTGCCGACAACACGCAGCATCAATCGCAGCGAGGTTCTCCGGCAACCACAGGAGATCAAGAAGATCATCATTAAGAATGACACGGATGAGGATGATGAAATGCACGGGTCACCGAAGAAACGATCACCCAACAAGCGCCAACAAGCGGGGGCAGCTAACACATCGGCCAATGGGCACAAGGACACTAAGGATAAGGCTAAAATAGAGGAAGGCTCGACAACTCCACCGCTGCCAGCCAAACCAAAGGCGCGGGCGGAGAAGAGAGCTTCCAGCAAGGAGAAATCAGTAAGATCCAATTCATCGGAAGCGTCATCGGCCGCCAAATCCGCCAGCGCGTCAACTTCCGTTTCTACAACTACCAAAGCCAAGCACACGCCAATTCGCTTCACTCTTAAAAGTGAGCACGAGCCGAGTGTGAGTAAGAAGCGTCGTTCTGGCAGCCCCGATCGTGATGTCGTGGCTCCGGAGAAACGCAGAGTATCCATACGCAATGCGGAGGACAGGAAGTACGACAACTTGCCGGCGTGTAAGTGTATTTATTATTCAAATCTAAATTAGACAATTACTTAAGAACTTACCACCTTGTTAGTGAGCGCAGTTAGCGTGGATTCCACCGTGCTGAAGGTGAGCAAACCCAAGGAGCGTTGCAAATATCATCCCAACTGCACAAAGCAGTTCTGTGAGTACTACCATCCCACGGCGCCATGCAAGTCTTTCCCCAACTGTAAGTTCGCGGACAAGTGCATGTACTCGCATCCGAAGTGCAAATTCGACATGGCCTGCATGAGCATAGACTGCAACTACGCCCATGGCGGGCAAAGGGATCTAAGCCATGTGCAGCTTGCTGCTCCACCACTATGTAAGTGATAACTTTTGACTTTACTTTTACAATACATTTACATTTTACATTTTTATAGCCTCTCACATCATACCAGTGCAAAACTACAAGTCGATATCGGCCCCTGTTACATCAACGACTGCGACTACGATGTGCAAGTACTATCCCAATTGTTCCAAGTTGGGATGCACCTTCTATCATCCCAAACCCTGCCGCTTTGGCAAGAACTGCGTAAACAAGCTGGAGTGCATCTTCTACCATCCGGAGATGCAGAGCAAATTCAAGTGGGTGGCATCTTTGGGTTAATGTGGACTGCACTTTCGTTCAAATGATATTTAGCAAATGTACTCTGGACTCCTGGCCATTGGCCACTATTCGATACCCCTTATTTCAAGTGTATGATTAGGCGAGCTTGGAGTTTTTTCTATTTATATACACGACGTTGTATACCTATTTAATCTTCATTATTATTTGCATTCATCCTACTGCTTATAATTGATAACTCGTGTATTAGTCATTAGCAGCTCTCTCACATAAATGATAAACAAAACAAACATTTGTTGGTCTTGCGAATTTGTTTGCATTCAAACCATTAAGTACACGTCATGGTAAAGTTGACGAATAAATTTAGCAATAGTTGCTACAAATTGGAAAAGAAAACGATTTTATATATGTGGTTTGGCGGGTGTCTTTAAGTGGTTAATTGAATAGACAATTAATTGGAAAAAATCGAAATATTTAATATTTATTATATAGTACAGTCTCTTAAGTTTACGCTTAGACATCCTAGAGCAAAATATGTTTTTTATTTGATTTACTTAATCAATACTTTCTCTGTTCTTATAGTTGTCATTGCTTTTCGTTACTAACTTTTTTTGTTATAAGGCCACATTTACTGATATATATACTCGCGTATATATAGGCATATAGGATTTTCGGTTTTTAATTTCGATTTTAGCTCAGCTAATTTAGTTTAAGAGTCGGCAAACAATCTTATTTACAAAAATACTCGTACAATACATTTGATGGGCTTCCTTGCGGAATGCAAAGGGAAAATCGACGTCAGAGCGCAACTTTGTTCGCAGCTTTAGGATTACATATACGAGAAATCGAATACTGAATCTAAACTATCGGAACATAACTACATAACGACTATAGGGCGGTACGTATGTCATCTAAACTACTAGAATAAATAGACAACGGCATTATTAACTAACTAAAGCGTAGGCAGGGGGATCGGAACGAGTCGAGGTGGAAGCCTGGCTGCTGCTGCTGCTGCTGCTGCTATTGCTTTGAGCACCTTAAGATGTAAACCGTATCTAGGGGCCAACTTAGTACAAAACATTGCGTTACTCCTACAGCTAGGTGTATATGGGCGGATTTAAAAATATCTTTTGTTTGCTTTGCTAATCGTCGTTCATGCTCAAAACTCAAAACTAAATAAGTCGCTCTTCCGGCGGTGGCTTCAGCACGTTGTCCATTTCCAGCCGTGGGTTGCAGTACTCTTGCGCGCTCGGGCTGTAGGTGCCCCTGGTGGCCCGCTTGTTCCTGGCCATCACCAGGAAGGTGCCCAGAAGGGCTCCTGCGATTAGCAGCAGCACCACCACTACGGGAATTACAATGATGGCAATGTCTGTGGTCGAGGGTCCGTCCTCCTTGGCCGTAATCTGAGATGAAAAGGATTTAATATGTAGTTTTCCTTACATTGAAATTGTAGTTTGGGGGCAACTTACCGGTGCTGTGCAGTTCTTGCCCGCAAAACCTTCCGGACACTCGCAGTAGTAGTCCGGTTTGGCGCCACAGGACTCTACGCAGCGACCGCCGTTGGAGCAGAGGTCCGTAGCGTTGCAGGGATCCGTAAAGTTGCAGTAGGCTCCGCAATAGGGTTTCTGGCAGATGCACTGGAAGGATCCGGGCTTGTTGAAACACCGGCCCAATCCGCCGCAGTAATCTCCCTCCACGCTGCACTCGTCGATGTCATTCTCACAGCGAATGCCCTCGAACCCGGTGCCCTGGCAGTCGCACTCATACCTGCCGACGAGGTCCTTGCACTGACCTCCGTTCTGGCATGGATTCGATTCGCACTCGTTAATGTCTTGCTCGCACAGACGACCAGTGTATCCCAGGCTGCACTTGCAAATCGGTACCTAAAGAGTATAAAATGTTTTTATGAATAAACGGTCAGTGGGATGCCATTATTAGGCCACTTACCGCTCCAGTGGTCAGACAGAGACCACCGTTGTCGCAAGGCGTTATTTCACAGAAGGGAATGTCGCAAAGTGGACCCTCGAAGCCGGGTACACAAGTGCATGTAAAGTTATTGCCAGTAGCAGCATCTGCAAGGAGAGAAGATTAGTAATCGTTGAAATAAATATTTGTATCTTGTAATGGGGCAACACTTACTGAATCCATTCTGGCAGGTTGAGCCGTTCCGACATGGCTCGTTCTCGCAGGTCATTTGCTTCAGCACGTCGCACTGTGGGCCCATATAGTCCTCTGGGCAGTCGCACACATACGAGGCGATTAGATCCGTGCAGTTGCCGCCGTTGTGGCACGGCTGTTCCGCACACTCGTCGATGTTCTGCTCACAGTGCTGACCCTCGAATCCTGGCTGACACTGGCAGTAGAAGGCTGCCACCTGGTTGATGCAGGTGCCGTTGTTCATGCATTCCGTGTTAAGACACTCGTCGATGTCCGTGCCGCAATCATCGCCCTCGAATCCAGGCTGGCAGGTGCAGGCGTACTCATCCGATGGAGACTGACAGAAGCCGTCATTTTTGCAGTCCGACTGGAAGCACAGGATGCAGCCCTCCTCAGGTCGCGTGGCATTTAGTCGGAATTGGGCCTTTTGCTGTACCGAAACATTGGTGCGCGAATACAGTTCCGCCATGGAGAAGTAGGGCAGTAGAAGATCGCCCACTCTTGCCTCTCCTACACAGCCCTTGAATTGGGAGCCCTGTTGGGCGGACAGAGTGGATCCTCGTGCTTGTCGCGACTCTGGCATGCCGCCCAAGTATACCTGGGTACTCGTAGCGATCAGGGACTGGAAGGCCGCTTGGTCGATGTCCGTGGAAAAGGCTGGCGTCGGGTCCACCATCGATTCCCATCCCTTCCATCCACCCTCCAATTTGCTGTTGTGTGCCCTTAGATAAATGCGACTCCATTCTCCATCAGTGTTCTCCTTCTCAAAGCGGGCAGACTCGCCAAAATGCAGCGCACTGAGCTTCCAGGTGATGGTCACTCGTCCCCCGTTTACTCCGATTTCAAAGAATCCGTCCACATTGTCGATGTACAGGAGAGTTCCTCCAGCACGAGTGCGGAAGGCAATGTCAATCACCGGTTTAAGGGTTTGCTTGGGAGCCGCTTCACTGACAATATCGTCAGATTGCGGCTCCTGGAAATAGAAGAAGGCAAGGGGGCTGCGTTCCTGACCGGTAAAAGTAGTGTTGGTAACACACTCATAGCCATCGTCCAGATTTTGGCACAAGCTCTGCCCCGGACATGTAACGTGTTGGCAGAACTCGATCTCCTGGCAATTCTTGCCCTTGTAGCCATTGGGGCACTTGCAAGTGTAGTCGTTCCATGTGTTCCTGCACTCGGCATTATGAAGGCAGGGATTCTTTCGGCACAGATCATCGGACACCTCACCAGGTAACACAGATGCGCGATCTATGGTTACAGCGCCGAGTGGCTTGGCATTCACTTGGACGTCTGTCACATTCAGGGAATACATCTCCACAATCAGGTTAAGCGAGCCGTTGCTGACCTTCACGTCCTGTATTATGCCCTTAAAGTAGTCTCTGCTGTCGTCCGCCTCCTTGGGCACTGTAGTGTCTTCAATGGGTACTCCTGCTCCCGGAACCGGAATTACTCCTGGCTCTGTGGTCGCTCCCAGAAGTGACTCGCGTGTGGGTGCAGGTCCGCCCAAGTAAAGCACCTGTGCGTCCAGCAGACCCGTCGTGGACAGCGTCTTGCGGAAGTACTCGGTGCCATTGAGCTTCACCTGCACGAGCGTTTGATTGCGCACCACCTCGATCAGGTGGTTATAGCCGTTGTCCAACTTCTGGCCACCAACGGTGTAGGCCTCCGGAGTGCCGCTGAACTGCATCTTTACCAGCAGTTCTCCGCCATGTAACTTGGCCGCCACATATGAGTCACCAATATCTGTTGAAGTATTCAGATACATGGTTAATTTACTTGCATCTTTAATTAATTTATCTAATAACGAACTCACTTTTAGTGGGCGCTTTGCGTGGATCGGTGCCCAAGTAAAAGACCTGACCGGTTGGCTCGCGGGTACGTATAAACATGGAAATGTCTAGAATGGATCTAATGGCTCGCCTAGCCACATCTGTGGTCTCCACAATCACAGCCGAGTGGGTGGTGTTCTCATGGCCAAAAGTGGCCGCAGTCATATCTAGAAAAAGCGAAATAATTATGTTTCAAAAACTACATGCATTATCTCCGTTCAAGGCTACTTACTGTGCTGACATGTGTGTCCAAAGAATGGTCTGGGACAATGGCAAGCGAAGGTGTGCCAAAGATCCGTGCATTCACCGTTTGAATGGCAGGGATTCGGTTTACATTGCTCGGTGCGAGGACAACCGCTTTGGACATTTTCCAGCTTGGTATAGCTGACATTCGCATCCTGCTCATCGGGGAAGATCCATTTACCGTTGACCATGATGTCTTGCATGCAGCCCACAAAAGCTGACGGTTGGTGGGTGAGGTGGCGCAGATAGGACTTCAGATTGGGAATGGTGCCGCCCAGATATGTACGCGGGAATGAGGGTTGGCTGTTGTTGGCCGTTTCATAGGAGCCAACCGGAAAGATGGCCTGCTCGTCGTTGGCCGAGAGGACTAAATGCGAAGTATTAATGGCCACAAACACCTTGTGCCAGTTGCTATCGTTCAGCTTCGATCCGATAAACACGCCCTCCCACTTGTTTAGTAGCGAGGAATGTAGATTAAGTCGTCCATTAATCAGCTCCAAAATGTAGCTAACTGGTTCATTCTTTTCGCCGGTGGTTCCAAAGGCCAGAACTCCGTTGGGCAGAGTGGTCCTAAACTGAAGATTAATGTCGTAGCCCTCCTCGCGTTCCGTGGTCACCGAAATCAAACTAGTGGCCACCATTGACAGTGTGGTGGTCTTTTCGCATTTATTGCCTTGGAAGCCGTTCTCGCAGGTGCAGTTGTACAGATGAGTTATCTCGTTGATCAGATACGGCAAGCAGGCGCCGCCATTTAAGCAAGGCTGCAACAAGGGGACCAACATTATAATAAGTATATATTTTGAATTTGATTTAGAAACTTACATTCTCGTCACAGCCTTTGAGAAGCACGGAACAGTTTTTGCCTCCATAGTTCGCATCACAGTCGCAGTCGTAGTCGTCTATCTGGTCATAGCAAGTGCCCCTCTGGCAGGGATTATAGCGATCACACTCATCTATGTTGATCTCACAGTGGGTGCCCTCGAAGCCAGGTTCGCATTCGCAAGTATAGGTGCCGATCTGCAGATAAGCATAAGTTCAATATTAAATCACATGGTTTAAGATCCTGAGTTTGGTAACTTACCCCATCATTGCAGTTTCCGTGCTTGCTGCAGGGATTACTGTCGCACTCATTAATGTTGATCTCGCAGTTCTTGCCAATGATGCCGGGCACACAGACGCACTCGTATCTGAGGATTACTTAGGTTAATCCACGAATATAATATAGGATTGCGCTCCAAGTGACTTACCCGCTGGCATTCTCAAAGGAAAAGGGCTGGCTAAACACCTTGGGCAGGTCGGTGATCCGACTCATTTGGTAGAGCGTCATGTTGGAACGCTCTAGGCAGTTGCCATTGTATTGGCAGGGATTACTCTCGCACTCGTTGATGTCCTGCTCGCAGTTCTTTCCCTTGTAGCCGTTGTGACAATCGCAGAAGTAGTCCTTCACCCTGTCCACGCACTTGGCACCATTCGTGCACGGATTCGAGAGGCATTCGTCTATGTTCAGCTCACAATTCTCGCCCTCATAGCCGGTGCCACTGCAGTCACAACGGAAACCACCCAATTGGTCGATGCACTGGCCTCCATTCAAGCAGGGATTCCCCACACAGTCGTCAATGTCGATGTCACAGATGCGACCCGTCATTCCCGGAATGCAGTTGCAGGTGAAGTTGTTGATCCTGTCGATGCAGGTGGATCCGTTCGAGCAGGGATTACTACCGCACTCATCGATGTCCACTTCGCAGTTCTCGCCCTCATATCCTGGTTGGCAAACGCACTCGTAGGCATTTATCTAAATCGTTATGAGTTGATTAAATACTTATTGCTTTGAGGTAATAGTAGGTTTGTGGTAATCATGCTTGATAAGCACTATCAAAGCTAATTAATTAGAATTTCATAGAGATGGACTAAGTGGACTAGCTTACTTTTAATGACATCTAATCATTAGCAGCGAAACGAGTTTACATAAATTCAAACTGCCACTCACTTGTCTCAAAATCCGATGCTTTCCGAATTTAAAGAAAAACAACTAATTACACTTTAGTAACAAACTAATCCTCAGTCACCAGCGGCAGACTCGGATCCGATCCGACTGCCATCCACCTACCTTGTTGTGACACGTGGCTCCGTTGAGGCAAGGGAAGCTGAGGCATTCGTCCACATCGGAATCGCAGTGGACTCCAGTAAATCCAGGTGTGCAATAACACTTGTACGATCCCTTCTCGTTCTTGCAAATGCCATTGCCGCAGATCTTCGGATGCAGGGTGCACTCGTCCACGTCGTTGCCACAGGTCCGTCCAGTCCATCCCCGGGTGCACTTGCACTCGTAGTCGCCATTCGGTAGGTCCACGCATTCTCCGCCATTCTGGCAGGGTTGGGTGGCGCACTGGTTGCACACCTTGTTCTCCGGACAGAGGCACTGATTCTGGACACACACCATCGGTTCCTGGCAGTTCAGTGGCGAACAGTTCTCGGCCTTCTCGCAACGATCTCCCGAATAGCCGACGGCGCAATAGCAGTGGGTTCCGTTCATGGAGCAAGTGCCTCCATTGAGGCACTTTCCATTGGTGGCATTGCAGTTGATGGGTGTCAGGGCCAAAGCAGCCGCTCCATCGCCCGTGCTCGTTTGACAGTTGTAACCTGAGAATGGTTCTTGAGATTAGTATTCAATAGGACTTTGCTTCACTATCAAAGTAACTAAATAGTAGTAAGGTAAGTATTCAAAATTATATTTCGGATTGTTGCAAGTGTTGACCAAATATTAATTGTTTGACTAGATCTACTTTCTACGTACTTAAAGTTACCTTATCTGGGGTTGCACTAAAAGTTTACAATTGGTTAGATTTAAACTTGAATCTTGAATGAATCCACAATGCAAACTGATCTGTATCTGACTTTGCTCACTTCATTCTTTAGCTGCAAAGGGAAGTTCCTAGCTCGTTCTCATGTGACAAAATTTTATAATTTCCTGTGCAAGTCGAGCACATTTACTCTTAGTAAGTGACTTTATAAGTGCCTCAGCGGAGTGGATTCAGATAGGACTCAAGTCGGAATCAATATCACTTTAAACCCAAGAACCACAAGGGCCATTAACCGCATGCAAATTAAACTTCCTTAAGTGGATCATCAATGACATGCACACTTTTAGGACAACCCCGGACAAATGTATGCCAAACCTGTGTATCCACTAGCACAAATACAGGAATAATTGCCACTATAACCCAGGCAGGTGCCACCGTTCAAGCAGTTTTCTTGGGGACATGCATTCAGGGAGGCCGAGCGTTGGGTCGCAGATTGCACTGGCTGTTGTGGTGGCTTCCTGCTAGCCGTGGTCGTTCCCACCGATGTTCGGCTGGTTGTTATTGGAGGTATCTTGGTTGTTGTTAGGGTGTTGGGAATAGCTGGGTTAGGGATTGCTGTGGTTCTGGGCGTTGTTGTTGGCTCTTGTTCTGGTGTCGGTGTGGTTGTTGTTGGCAGGCAGTGACCAATGGGGCCTACGATTATTACCCATCAAACGCAACATAGGTTTTATACAATACAAGATTAGGGCATTAGCTTATGGCAAATAAATATACACACACATATATATATACACACTTAATGTGGGGGATGGCCAGGTGTTATCAAATGTATTCAATATCTAAGGGATTATGCAAGTGTATGAGAACCCCCTTTCAGCAAGCTACTACCACATCCATTCGACCTACTTAGTTTTAGCTCACAACGCTTGCGTTTGAGCCACTCGGGCGATATGTAGCGCTTCTTCTTTTCGCTGGGGCACAGCGTGGCGTCGAGAATGTCCAGCTCGAGCGGAGTCAGCGGCTCCAAGTCGGAAGCTTATAGTTATGCCAATTGATTAGGTGGCGAAATTAAGACCGTAAAACCCAAAGTAAGCGAGTGTATATTCATGCAATAACCAACAAATGATTCCCATAACCGGAAAGAATGGAACGTGGAACTCACCCGATGAGCCTGGCTTACACACGCACTTGCCGCCTACGCACTCCGAGTCGATGGGACACTGCTGGGCGCAACTGGGTGCGATTTGGCACAGTTCACCAGTGTACTCCGGCGGACAGAGGCACTGGAAGCCGATGGGCTTGTCCAGGCAGGTGCCGCCGTTCAAGCACTGCTGCGTCTGGCATGTCATGGGTCGGTCACAAATCTCACCGCCCCAACCGTCCAGACACTGGCAAGTGTACCATCCGTAGGTATCGAAGCATCTGCCGCCATTCAGGCACGGATTCTTGTCGCACTCATCCACATTCGTTTGGCAGAAGGCGCCTGTGTAGCCGGTGCCACTGCAGTCGCAGCTAAATCCATTGATCCGGTCGATGCAGCTCCCGTTGTTTTGACACGGCTGTGAAGCGCACTCATCCGTGTCCACCTCGCACCTGGCACCAGCGTATCCTTTGGGACACTCGCAGGTGAGTGCTCCACTTCCGCCAATCACCACACACGCTCCATTGTTCAGGCACGGGTTCGTCTGGCAGAGTGGGTGGATGTTCACCTCCGTCTCGCAGTGCTGACCACTGTGGTTGGGATCACAGAAGCACTGGTAATCCCCTCGGGAGTTCTCCAGGCAGGAACCACCGTTCTCGCAGGGATTCTTGGCACACGGTGAACCATTGTCCTTCTGGCAGTTCTTTCCCGAGTAACGTGCCGTGCACCGACACTCGTATCCCTCGGGACTGGACGAGCAGGTTCCGTGGCCCATACAAGGGTCATTTAGACAGAAGTTGTCCGGCAGTCGGGTGAAAAGATCGTGATCGCTGCAGGGACCTGGTGTCAAGGGACAGTGGCCAAAGACCACGTTCTGCACCGTCGAGTTGTTCACAAACTGCAGACCTGGTCCATCCAGCAGACAGCCGGAGAAGGAGTTTCCCAAGATCAAGATGGCGTCCTTGTAGCCGATGTCCTGGTTCGTCAGGAACTGGCTGTTGTACGTGGAGTTGGCTGGGGAGGAGAAATGAATTATTTAGATTAGCAATCTATTGTTCAACTCTAATAAACATATATTTAAATTTATTTTCTAGTAATTATTATTTTCTTGGCTTGTTTCCTCTGTTTAGTAGCTTCTCTCACGTATTCTTTACAATTGTTTAATTGATTTTTCGAATGAGTTCATCATTACCCATTTTCTCCCTCTATTTAGTTAGCCAGCACAATTGCATTACTTAACCCTCGTGATGTGATTCACTTCCATGTGCTGTGCTGCATTTCACGTTTGTTCACGACTGACCCGAATGAGTGGGTGATAGAGCCCATTCCGCCACAAATGCAATTTGGGGCAGTCAGGGCGGCATGGTTACTTACCAAATATGCTTGCCGCGCGATCCACATGCAGGTAGAGATTGCCGTACTCGTACTTGAACTGCAGGGTATGCCAGCGGTTGTCCAGCAGTTGGTAGGGCAGCTTGACATCCAGCCGGTTGTTGGGCCCATGGACTGCGGGTCCCGCCAGTGAGATTTGCAGAAAGTCATTGAGCACTGAGATTACAATGGAGTTCTTGTTGTACTGCTGGGCGAGGATCTCGCCGCCGCGGCACGAGCGGAAACTAATCGCCGAGTGATCCCAAATGGGCATCGGCGTGGTCAGGCGGAGGTAAGTGGAGCCATTAAAGTACGCCTCCTTCGTTGGCACCGCCACTGAGGCGACATCTGCAAGAGAAGATCATGATTGCCAGGGTTAGTGGGATTAGCCAATGCACTGAAAAGAACTTCCTATAAATAGTTTGAAATATAAATAGAAATAGCTAAGAAGTTTATGAACCACACTATTTTCCATTACAATTCCACTTGAAATCCAAATTAAAGTCATATAAAAGCGGAAACCTTCAGTAAATTAGGGTAGATTTTTCGCTGTAGCATCGGACGGGTGATGGGTGAAATGAATGAAATAAAAGCATGACAAGGCCAGGTCGGCTTGGTCCGGGCCAAGTCAAGTCAAGTCGGGCTCTCATTTAACTAATCGCATTTCATTCGCATTTGGCCAACGCATTTGTAACCGTAGACTTCCTCATTTCGCGTATTTGGCACACGGCAAATGGCCAATTGGTTTACTTTGGCTTACATTTTCCTACTGCTGTTCAGTTCAGCCTTCTCGCCGTGTCTCTGTCCATTGCTCTCCGGCTAAGAAAGTGTTTTGTCTTTCGAATAGCATTGACCAAATTAGACGAGTTGCCATGGCCCGGCACATGCCACTTAAATGGTAATCAGTTAAAGGCCCCGTCTTCTCAACTTTCGTTTGCGCTGATCACCAAAGCGCAGAATCAATTTCAACTAAAGTAGAAAAACAGCAGCCGCAGACCAGAAGACTCCATAACTGACTACAAGTCGTTTTTTTTCATTCACATTTTTTAAGCAAATAGGAAAAAATGGCAAAGCGAAACTAACTAGCTTTCTTGGCCTGAGTGCACGAGGCGTTAAGATTTGCAAAGAGGGAAACTGTGAATGTACCGAATGTATGTACATACAACTTAAATAGACTTGCATGTTCATAAGCTGGTTTTCATCAATAGTCTGCAAATCAAACAGAAAACAAAACCTAAACAAAATCTTAAAACGGAAAGAAAGCGGCGCAGGAAAAAGTTATTAGCGAAAGGAAATCGAAAAAAAATCAGAGAAACCTTTCGTTTTTATATAAATTCGATTTTTTATAAGCAAATTTCTTTACAATTAGTTAGTTATTAAAAATCAGGAAGCTTGTTATAATGCAGTGCTTGAAAAGCTAATTATGAATGTTTGAGTAATTATGTTTTTTCCTTGAGATGAACTAAACAGCCGTTGATTTATTTTCCATAAACTATACTCTTTTCTAACCTTTTTTATCTTTTTACTTATTTATGTTTTTCATTTGCCATTTATGATTTTTAACAACTTGGTGTCATTCAAAGACCTATAAGACCATTGCTGTTTCAATGGCACTGCTCATGTTGAGGTTTATGACCAAAAACAACATTTACTTAAGTTTATTTCCCCCTCAATAATCTTCGCACATGTGTACTTGAGTATTTTTGCACTACCCACACGGAGAAGAGATCATTTTAGCACCTCCTGGCTCCGGTGAACCCGTCTGTGATCCGCTGTGCCCTTTGGGCTGCCCTGACCCATGGCAGCCACGAGCTTAGAAAGCGCTTGGGGGACTTGGAAGACTTGGCTGACTTGGAAGACCTCGACAGAACCCGAACCATGTTGAAACACAGCGGGCAACAAAATACAATAGTTTATGAGGCCATCGATTTTGCCGCCTCTTTTTACGCGGTCTTCTCAAACATTTTATTTCGTACCTATTTAAAGGCGATTTGCTTCGCTATTTGCATTGACAGTACGCTGTTGTTGTCACTTCTGTGATTATGTGTGCCAGGGGAGAAGGGGCGTGGCCGGGAGGCGGGCAGCCAAGGTGTAGTCAGTGAACAAGTAAATAAGTCGCCTGCAAAGTAGCTCATAATTATATTATACTCACGTACGAAACTATGCAGAAAAGTATTCAAAAGTTAAACGGCAAAAATGCTATAAAATCACACATGTACACGGAGAAAAACGAAAGCCTCAATGTTTGGTGAACGAAATTAACAACTTTGAGCACATTTACCTATAAGTTTGCAACAAGTTCATTTTATATTAAAATTGTACCCAAGTAATAGTATTTATAATCAAAACAAAGTGTATTTCATACTAAAACCATATGTATCTACTCAAAGAACCAGAATTTGGTTGGATTGGGCTTTCATATAATCTTTTCATTGACCGTTTAGATTGGCCGCAGAGAAACGGAACGGAAATTTCATAATCATAACCAGCGGCAAGAATTCTATTTCCATTTTTTATGTTTTTTTGCCGTTTTTCGAGTTTTTGTTTATTATTTTCAGTTGTGTCATGAATGACTCGACTTGGATTCGAACTGGAACTGCAAAAGTCTGGTTTAATTCTGCTATGGAGAGCGGAAGAATTCTTTTTAGCGGTGTCATAAAAGAAACAGTTTAATAGCTTCTTTCGTCTTTTGTCAAAAGCATTCTGGGCAATCTGCTGGAAATGCTTTTTAAGCTTTTAATGATGTCTTGCTTGAAGTTTTTCGGGGACAAAGATTGTTTTGTGCCGGTTCTTAGAAAGAGGCGTATCCAATAGCCTGAACCTTCGAATTTTAAATGATCTTTATTGTGAGAGCTTTGAGATTGTAGGCTATTTTTGTAGATTAACGTTTTATGAAAGTACACTTCTTGCATAATCTTTAGAAATGAATTTGAATGTATCTGTGTCTTCTATATGATATGAACTACACGATTCCGTGGCCAGCTGGCATATAACTGTTACTTAAACAACATTAATTAAGAACAGTAAATAGTAATAGTCGTTCATTGAAATTTATAATTAATAGGCTGACCATCATGCTTTTGCAAATTGTTTTGCCCACTACATGGGAATTAAACAATCATTTCTTTGAGGAGTTTCCCTAAAAATGCTGAGCCCCTATACTTTATTAAATCTTCCAATTTAAAAGAGAAAACGCTCTGGATCTTCAATCCATCGTCGAGATAATCACTCATTTTAAGTTCCCCCATTTCAGGTTTCCCATACTATTTACCACCCGTAAGAAACCAGTGATTTATGCAAAAAACAGTATGCGAAAAACGCGCAAAACTTTTCAATGGAGGAAATGAGTACTGTCAATTCCTGACCCGCCCGCACTCACACCTCAAGTTGGCCGAAAGTGAGGGGCTCTCTCTCTCTAGTAGACCCAGTTAACAAAAACAGTCAGCCCATTGCAACACACTCGCATGGCACTGGTGTAAAACACAACATAAGTAGATGTATGCAAATTGGCTCAGCTCGCTTTGCTTTGGTTTTACCTCTGGCTCTGCCAGTGCATTTTGCATTTCGGATTTTGCACTGCATTCTGTTGGTATGACTAATCAGCGTCAGCATATGCAAAAAACAATGCCGCACCGAGTGCAATACCAACGTGGAGTGTCTACACAGCTGCGGTCAGAATAATAGCAGCTCTGATGAAGAGAGCCGAAAGTTCTGAAGTATAAAACATGTTTTATATGTTGTCAAAAATCGGAAAAAGGCATAACACATTTCTGAAAATATAAAGATCTACAAAACCTGTTTTTTACGACTTCTGAACATGCCCTCAAACATTTTTATTATTATCTTGATGGCAGCTGTGCATACATCTAAATGCATATTGACTTCGTTGGCCAATGTCACCAAAAGCTATTGCATTTGCTTTTTTTTTTACGAACTTTTCACGATTCTAAAGCCTGAAGAGCTCTTTTGGTTTGTTATACCCCATACCTTCCACTTTTTTATATGCATCCAACCCTTATCCCAAGTTGCAGGTCCGCTGTTTGGCCACAACAAAACAGGTTGCACGTTGCTAACTGGGCTAACTTGAACGGTTGCCCAGGATTTTTTTTAATTTCTCCCACAAAACAGAAAAACACTTGAAGCAAAATGATAAATTGAGATGATAGAACCACGATGATTTCGATTTAAGGCTGTAGATTTCAAATTTTCACAAAAAATAATCAAAATTACCTACACCTCGACAGAGAAAGTCTATTGAAATGCTTTGAATATATTATTGTTTTCTGTGCAAGTATTCGTTTTTTGTTGATGCGGGCCACTCTCTGCATTTGGTCATACTTCAATTCTTTCAGCTCGGCTTAAATGGTATATGTGTATGGTTGCTTCACTTGGCAACCCACACAAAAACACGTTAACTAGTGTTTTCAATTTTTGCTCTAAATACTTTTTACTTTTTCCGCAGCTTTTGAGTTAACGAGCGCCCACGAAAAATTTCATTTTGCACTCGATTGTTTTGTTGTTTTCATTTCGGTTATCAGATGTACAGATGTTCAGAAGTTGCATAAATTAAATTTGACCGAATTTACTTTTTTCCGTTTCTGTATTTTATTTGTTGGCTGCTGCAACAACAATAACACTGTTTTTGCTTTGTCTAATTAAATTCGAAATTTTTTAATTGCATTTTAATTGTTGAGTTTTCGTTTTCAGAGTTCGGTGTCTGTTTGTATTTTTTTCTATTAGTGGAAAAGTGAAAACCTGTCGCGATTAAAATTTAATTATAGCTTGTTGATAATAGGTTTATCGAAAGGGCTTAATTGCACTCGATGTTCAATGGAACATGAGAGCTAGAGACATTTTTATATATGGGCAAATGATCACAGGAAAGATCTTAAACAAAGATAAACAGAAAAATAATGATAGAGTAATTTTAGTAGAGTGTTTATTATTAAATTTTTCGCGTTATCCAAAACTTAAGAAAAACTAAAATGGTTTTATATAATTTAAAGTGGGTATGGGTATTAAATTATTGGTAGCCAAGTATGGATAGAGTTCCACTATGCATATTTATAGGGCTATTTATGGGTAAATATTTTGGACGATTCCATACAAAAAAATCTCTTAGGAATTCTAAAGTAATCTAAAAGACTTTAAAATCAAAATGTTATATGTTAAAGCACAGAAAGGTGTCTTTGCTATGAAAAATATATACAAAAAGTAACAACGATAAGAACTGTCTTTCAATCCGCTTTTATAAACGATTAGCTACGGCCAACAATTTTTCTAGGGTACATAGTATAATCCCTGCTGAAAATGATTTCTTTGTTGCGTGCCCTGGAGTCAACGCCTTTCTTCTCAAGATTAGTTAGTTCCCATGTCCATCGCTCTATTCTAAAACTTACACATTTTCATGTCTGACTGCACTTTAGGCCCAAAGAGCACATTGCTCTAAGCTATCATTTGTTCCGACACCTCGTTGGCGAGAAGAAAGATCCGAACAAAACTGAGATACGAATGCGTTCCCACACTTATTTCCGCTTTGCTTTCCAAGAAATGTGGTGAGGAAATATTTTTAAATATTTAAATAAAACCGCTTCTGCTACACAATGTGGTAACAATACATTGAAACGGTCAGAAGCTAATTAGTCTGCATAAATGAACGTTTCCCATGAAAGCTGTAGATTATCAGGCAAACAAATAAAATCCGCACCCACCAAAAAGTTCGAGTGCGTCACCAATCCAGTGGATTCACTCAGGTTACTCTCATGAAATTGTGCACGAAATAGAAGGTAATAAAATTAAATTGGCACAATTTCCGGAGAAATAATGGCAATGATATCAAAGCATGCATATCAAGGTTTGATATCAACATAAGTGTGAAAAGCTTGAAGCCAACACTATAACAAGTAACAATTAAAGTTGAAATGAGTTAATGAATAAAATTATTTCAATTTTATTAATTAATTTTCCTTTTTTGTGCCATTCCTCGTTGAACTTGTCTATAACCGTGTGAATGAGTCTTAACGTTTAACAGTTAGCGTTTATTCATTAATATCTTGGTTCTGGGAACAGCAAGATGACTCTCAAGCGAAAAGATACCCAAAAATAAATGCTTAGAATGGGGCACACTCAAAAATTAGAGTCGCTTTTTCTCTCCCCCGCTTGTTTGGCGCCGTTCAACTTTTTGTTTTTTTTTTTTTTTGTTTTTGTTTGAGCCACCTCTGCGCAGGCGCGCCTGGGAACCAGTTTTGTGGCAGTCGGTGTGTTGTGTTGTTGCTCGACCGCTTTCTGTGTGTTGCCAACAAGGCGGCCCTTGTACATTCTGTGGGCCTGGAAAAAGGGGCGGCCAGACTTGTTCACAAACTGGCACAAAGCAATGAACTGTTGAATAAAACAAAACCGAAAACAGGCCTGAGAATCTTTTCCGGTGCGTCCCCAAAGAGCAGCACCATCACATCCACCACATCCACCAGAACCGCCGGAATGAACCTCTAGAACCTACAGAACCGCCTGAACCCACAAACTGGGCAAACACAGACAGCGGGAATATAAACGCAGTCCGTGGGCGTTGCACCACGCAAAGGTTTTCAAAATAAATTAAGGGCTGTGAGTAATTGTGGAAAAATGTACAAAATCATATCAGGAAGTGACTTTACACTTTCAGGACGGCATATGATGTACTGTAGTATGAACTTATAAAATTGTAGCCAAAGTAATAAATAGACAGATATAATAATAATATGTTATTCCCATTACTTTAATTTTATTCTTTATAAAAAGCCTGCTACCTAATATAGGCTTTGGTTTGTGTGTTTAGATCCACAACGTGCTATTGTCACAAATAAATATTAAAACCACGCATTCTGCGTCCGGTAATTGCCATCAGAACCGTGAAGTGTTCCCCAATTTCCCACCTCAATTACCAAACAATTTCTGTTCGATTTCAGTGCGTTCTGTCCCATAGTATCGTTGTTGGAGTGACCCAATGCTAACAATGGAGTTTGTTGTTGCTGGCAGTACGCTGCGTATGCAAATAGCGACAGATAAAACGGCACTACGTGATCACCGCGATAAAGACAATCCAACAGACAGCATTGAACAACGCCCACAAATTTGAATCATTTGTTTACAACGAAATTTTTCAAATTAATATCGCGTAAAAGCGAAAGCTGCACTGTCTTTTCAGTTTAGTATATGTCTCCCTATGTTATATTGTTTCTCATATTTGTGATTTTTGTGCATCGGCTATTCTCCAAGGTGGCTGGCTAATCGATGCAGACGCAGAAATTAGGCAACGTTGCAAGTAGAAACAAGAAAGAACTATGCAATTACCTCGACTTCAAGTTACCCTATTACGACTTTGTATGCTTAGTCAAAAATTAAAACAATAGTCTATATCCCAAATATTTCGGCTCTTACCATAATAGGTCCTGAGATCTTGGCTCTGCATTCGCAGTATTCCTCTTCCGCCACAACTCCATGTGCCCCACCAAGTACTGGGTAGTAAGGTACCTCTAACCTTTAAAGGACGGGGGCAAATCAGTTCTTTTTTAGTTATACTCTGGCTATTTTTATAGACCTGGCTAACGACTTGCACTAATGGCCAACGTCAGGCAATGGTCGCGGCCGGTTGCGTAGGCCCACGGAACATGGCCCACGACCCGCGTCACGGCCGATTGCACTTTAACACTTGACCAGGTTGAAACACCGGACATCGGACACCGGAGAGCGGAGAACGCGGGTGTGTCCCGCGCACAATTTCCATTCTCGATTTCCATTTACGTGCCAGAGAATTTCCATAAACTCGCGGGGTCACGTGTTGTTATCGTTAATGCAATGTAGGTAGTTTTCGTTCATTTGTGTTTTCCCTCCACTTTTCCTGCGTGCAGAGTACCTGCGCCGCGATTTTTCCCCTGAAAATTATGGATTATATCTGTTTAGGGCGGAAATTCAAACGAAAGCCGTACAGAAACCACTCTCGAAGTGAAGATGACGCTGATGATCTTCGCTGTCGGTGTCTGGATTTTACGATGGAAGCTGCTATAAACCAGTTGCTGTGATGCCTTTCAGGGATTTCCCAGCCCAGACATCCATTTTCTCTTTCTTTCATTTACCAGTTTTCCTTGTCAATCATAAACCGAAGTCATTTGATAAATTCTGTGATAAAAGGTATGGTATTCTGGGCCCATTAAGAAGTTCGTTGTTACACAAATTAAAAGAAATTGTTCAGAGAACTAAAATGAAATCCCCAACTTATAGACGATGGCTGCATATCAGAGTTCTTTACACTTTTTACATTTAATTAAACACTGCAATTTTGTTATTAAACTAAAAATTTGTTTACACTAGCTCCATGGGCGGATGAGCTGGTATCTGTGGTAGCTGCATTCTGGAGCATTCCCTACTCTTTCTCTATCTGTGCCCCCTTTACCTGAGTGTTCTTCTTATCAACATATCAACCTATCAACGGAATTGCGGTATTGCTGACGTTGAGTTGGCCGCGCTTTTGCAACTGTTGTGCTTCACTTTCCGGCCAAAAGATAAGATTGCGCGCAACAACAGCCGGATGGTTGGCCGTTTGGTGGGTTGGTACTCGAATTGTAAATAAATAAACCCAATTTTTGAGGTCGTTTTTGCACAATCCGATGGAAAAAGGGGGCAGACAATGCTAAGCCAGCCGCACAATTGAGCCGCGGACAACATGTAACAGAAAATTACACATAATGAGTCAGCAAGTGTTGTGAATCAATTATTATGATCGTTATGCGATAAGTTTCACAGATTTCACTGTTGTGATATCGCTAAAAGCGCTTTGAAAATGCAGACAAATGAGGTATTATTGCCAAAAGATTGTATCAGCATCAAAAAATGCAAAAACAATAATTTGTTACGATTTCCGATTATTTGCCTAAAAATTGGATATACATTTGTATTTTACATAGGGTTAAAAATGCGGCTCATGTCATATTCTATTCATGTCATATGTCTATTTTCCATTAATAATTTTTCTTGACCAAAATTGCCGCTACTAACCGACTTTGAAGCTATGATTTGATTAATTACCTCGCTCAGCGACAAAAATTGTGATGGGAGTAGTACTATACTAAATATAAATTTATACGCAATCGAAGCTAATACATTTTTAAGCATTCCTTTTGCTTGGGAGATAAGACCGAGCACAACACATCATCAAAAATTAGAAATGAGTGTATAATTAACACAATCAAACTTCAGGTAAGCCAGGTCCATGAGTCACTTCTTGAAGGAAAACCCGTTGAACGAGTTTTTCGTATGCCCGAAATCAATGGAAATCCAAATTCCTTGTACCTAACATGACTTTTCCTTGGGCCACATCCCAAATAAAAAACACTAATGCTCCCCTTTTAACACATACACACGACCTGTTGCTCTTTTTTTCAATTATAAGCTTTTGAAACATCAGCAAATGTTCAAGCTAAAGCTGAAGAATGCATGTGGTTCAGCATAAAAACTATTTACAGTGTGGCTTCCCTAACTCAAACTGCTCATTAAGAATTGTTTAAAATTATGGAAGTTTATGAGTGTTTAAGTTTTAGGGCCTTAAGCAGAATTGATTTATTTTTAAATACTATACTGCCGTATATATGGTTTCGTATAAATATTCACATTTAAGCCTGGCTTGACGACAACAACAACATTATAAATTCCTTTTAAAGTTGGTAAACATTTAAAATTTTTTAAATAAATTTTTAATGAGCAGGTTCAATGCAGTGAAATCTTCACTGTAGCTTAAGAACCGTGTAAACACCGGATTGCTCTCTCTTGTCCCTGACTATTGTTCCCCATCCTCGCTCCCCATCTCCTTCTGAATGTCCTCGACTCTCCCTCTCACAATGTTCTCTCTCACCTGTTGCTAAGTAAATAAGTATGAAGAGCGGTATCCATTGAGGCGACGAATAAACTGAAATGGCGCGCTTGAGCAAATGCGACGTAATTTGAGCTGCGCTTTTCGTGCGGTCTCGACTTCTTGCTGTTGTTGTTGCTGTTTCTACTGATGCCGCCACTGTTGTTGTGGTTGTTGTTGTTGTTGCTTGCCGCTGCTTGTGTTGTTGTGGCAGTGACGCATTCGCGATTATAGCCATGATCGTTGATTTGTTGGCTCAAGTCGTGTTTTCGTATTGGAAAGGGATGCGTTTGGCTAGATTATATTGCTATTCAAACGATACTCATTGAGCTTGTTGTTGTTGGTAATTGCATTCTCCCTTTTCTTTCTACTTTTCTCTGCTCCACGCAAACACTCACACGCACAAGCACACACACATGAGCAATCGGCACTTGGCTTAGAACAGGTTATTTTTATTTTTTAAAGTTGTATTCCTCCTCTTTGGTGGCTGTATTATTTGCACACTTTCGCACGCGACACTTTCTAGCCTGAATTTGAATATTGAGCACAGAGATTCCGCTTTCAGCCAACTAATTTGCCATTTCTTCCTAGGCCACGATTCTGAATCACACCAACACACATACAAACACACGCGAGCGCCGAAGACTTGGCTTAAAAGAGAAGTGCGCTGTTCTTGTTGTTGTTGCTGCCCTTTTGAACTGCAAGCAGCACACACACACGCGCGCGCACAGACATTGGCCAAAACGGGGGGCAAAAAACGTTACTAGCGCGAGCGACCAATAAAAAACACGTCCGACCAGCAAGAAAAATTTTCGACTGTTTGAATCGCCGATATCCGTTTCGTGGGCTTATATATGGTGCAGTGTGACCAGTTCGCTTGGCTTGGTTTTCGGCATTCGATTTTGTACTCAGCCGGCGTGTATGGTCACACTGAATGCAAGCTGCACAGTGGTACAATATTATGCATACCAAAATAGAAAAATATTTAGCTTCGCGATTGTTTTCGCATAAAAATGTAATATTTACAATTTTAACTTTTTAATATTTTAACTATATAATATTTAACTATTTCATATATTATTTTATAGAAGATGTAGCGGTGTGAAAATGCGAAATACGTGAGTACAGCTATGTTAAAATTATGGCGGGAACATCAGAGAGTAAGCTGCACCTAAATTAAGCAATCGAAAAATTAAACAATTCTTGGTTTCATAAGATAGCCGAATATATTTGTAAATTGTGACCTTATTTCATTTCCATTGTTTCCAGTACTACGAAAACATTATGCAGCATAATTCAAATAGAATTACGCCTTTTAAAAGACGGCGAATCTTAACTTGCGAAAATTCCGCACTCTAAATATTTACAAGCTGGAATGCATAAAACTAAATTCCCCCATAAATCAAGAAGCCAGCGGATAGCAACTACGTACTTAATGTAAATGTAAGCGGCAACAAAGCGCCGACTTATCGTTTCAAAAAGAACCCAGCATAAACAGGCTACACCGACATGTCGTCAATTTTTGGAGGTCTAGGTGGGACTATATAATGTCGGTAAGCCCGGCTAGAAATCACAGCAGTTGGGGAATTTGCAAAATGGACAAATCGCCAAGTAAACCAGGATCGCTTTTGCTACTGTTTTTACTGAGCATTTCTTTGGGAGATTCCATGCCCCTGGAGGACATGGACTCCCAGGAAATGATTGACTTGACCGATCTTGGGGATACTGTCTTCGGCAATCCGGATGTAGAGACCACTGGAGCTTTGGTCGAGGCACTCGATGTGGAATCATCGCAGAATCCCGAGGAGCTGGGCACCTACCACGAAGGTGACATCCTGATTCCACTCAGCTACAGGGACGCCCGATCCAATGGCACCCGTAATGGAATTTTGGCGCTGAGCTCCCGCTGGCCGGGCGGCGTCGTGCCCTACGAGATCAAAGGACCTTTTACAAGCCAGGAATTGGGGAACATTAACCACGCTTTTAAGGTGAGCTTTCAGTAATACCCCTATTGAATTTGAAACTTATAATTCGGATTACAGGAATACCACACCAGAACATGCGTGCGCTTCAAGCCCAGGACCACCGAAAAGGATTACATCTCCATTGGTAGCGGAAAGTCTGGCTGTTGGAGCAGCATTGGGCGCTTAGGTGGTCGCCAGGAAGTGAATCTGCAGTCGCCCAACTGCCTGCGTACATACGGCACTCCGATCCACGAGCTGATGCACGCCTTGGGCTTCTTCCATGAGCAGAATCGCCACGAACGCGATTCCTATGTGCGGGTGATGAAGGACAACATTAAGCCCGAGATGATGGTCAACTTCGAGAAGTCCAGTTCCAGGACACAGTACGGCTTTGGCGTGGAGTACGACTATGGCAGTGTGATGCACTACTCACCCACCAGTTTCACTCGGAATGGCCAGCCCACGTTGAAGGCACTGCGGGCCACATTAGATGCCAGCCAGATGGGTCAACGCAAGGGTTTTTCCGCCGGAGATGTGCGCAAGATCAACGCGATGTACAAGTGCAAGGTATAGATCACATCTCCATTCGAAGCTAACAAACAGTATTTTGACAAACATAAATATTTATCATCAACAATCAATTCGGTTTACTGAAAAAATATGTCTATGGGTATAATATTTGGTTAGATAATTAACATTCGCCTATGTGCGTCGTATGTTGTACTGCTCCGGGAACTCTCACGCCATCACATCCTAGTGGTACGGCAGGTTCTTATTTGTCTCAAAGAAATAGTTTCCCTGCATATTGAGCTCCTTGCAGATCGTGGAAAATCTTCGGATGGCGTTGTAGGTGCCGAGGTTACTTCCATCTTCACGGGGAAACACAAAGCATAACAGAAGATTGTATATATACAGCACGGCAAGTGTCCGATTGCATGCATTGGGTGGTGGTTAGTAATCCGGATGATTCACTCCAGTCAGCGGATGGTTAGTGGGGACGCGCCTTTTGGATGGTGGCCTTACCTGGGCCCGTAAAACCGGCACCCGTCGCATTTAAATCCAGATTCATGTAGAGAGCCATGTTTCCTGTTGATCCGTGCCGAGACCGATTGTTTAGGAAGTCCCGGATGTGCTGAACGATCAAATCGATGGCCACTGAAAGGAAAAGAGAGGACAATCAGCTCACGGGACATTTGGTAATATTAAATCGTAATGCTGCACCATCGTAAGCATTGCAACTCAATGTGGAACAATCCACTTACCGTGCTGCTCCTCACGAGCTCCGCCGATCCGAGCGGTCTAGTCTAAGCCCAGGACTTATTCTAGCTCTAGTTAGTGGGATCTATTACCTAAACGCATCTAAGCTGGGCGGCATTTTCTGTTATTTGTTATGCTACTGTGTGACTGAAGTAAGTGTGCCTTACAAAAAACTGGTTGTGTACTTACTAAATGAAACACCGATTTATCTTCACGCCTTGTTAGGCTAATGACTGTCTTCCATTTGTGTATTTGAGACTGCATTAAAGTGTTTAAAAGGGACGCTATTCGATAACACCAAAGTCGCAGGTTCCGACTTCACAGATGCCCGGTACTTATGGTACAAGAACCTAATATTTAGTAACCCATTGATTTTTGGGGCTTAATATTGCTTTAAAACTAATATATAGTTAGTTGTATTAAGTAGAGGAATTCATAGGAACATCTATGTAAAGTATATGACCAAAATTTATGAGTTTAAGGAATGAGTTAATTATGAGTCCATAATGTTGCTGATACTGAAAAAATTATGCTTAACGTTAGCAAAGCTACTTAATCGCAAAGTAGTTAACACATATGATCAGGAGTTCATACAAAATAGTTTAGAAATTCAAGAAAATGTTGCTTATAAAACTTAATAAAGCTATTGCTTATAACATTCAAAGTATCGGGCATCAGAATATAGATACAATAGTTAGATGTGTAAAATATGTGGTTTGGTGAATAGTGCTTAGATCCTCGGAATAAAGCCAATTGAGGCACCAGGGTTAAGTTTTAACTGTCGAATTTTGTATAACTTAGGACTGAAGTTTGACTGGAATCGCAATCGCTGGGTTGGTTTGGGTTATCTTGATGAACGGAAACGAGCTTACATACACACTACCATGTATTATTGAACATTTGCAAGAGTAGATACTAAGTAGATACTTTTCAATCTTAGGACTACGTTAATCGGTTACGATGAGAAGACCAAATGAGAAGCGATGCCGGCGCTCAATAATGGACATTTGCCTTAGTGTGCTGCGCTGCCACGAGTTTCTATAAGTTTCATTAGCTTTTGGACTTTTGTTTTTTGGCAATTAGTACAAGCTCAAGACGCGGCGCTAGGACGAGGAATTGGCCGCCTCAGAAGCGAGTTTATATTTGCGTTTAGTGATCTCGCTTCATGCTAGACGCCGCTACCCTGACTGTGTTGCTGTGCTGTGCGCTGTTGGTAGTGGCGAGAATCTCCCCGATATGGTGTACAATAAGATCAATGGCAACTGCAAGAGATACAATAAAACAACAGGAACAAAACGAAAACAACGAAAAAATAGTAACGCAAGAGATACAATTAACAGAGATGACGGAAAAACAAATAGGGAGTAGAAATGTTGATAGGTATATAGTACTTATTGATATGTAAACCTCAAGCAGTCTGTGTGATAAGGGTTTGTTGTCCCCAGACGGATTAATATAACCAGAAACAAAAGAACCATTGCTAAAACTATGGTTATAGGCAACCAACTCAACGAAACACTACAAACGCTTAATGTGTAAGAGTGTGTATTGTGGAGGCATAGAAAGTAAATCAAAGTAGATAGAAGTGTGGGTGGTGCTGCCTCACCTGTGTTGTCGGCGCCTCGTGGTATAATAACGTCAGCAAACTTTTTCGTCTGAAATGGGCAGGGTTTATTAGTTACGTTGTATGGCACATGTGGTATGGGTAAACTTACGGGCGAGCAGAACTCCTCGAAAGCCGGCTTTACGAAGGTCATATACTGGGTAAGCACAGCATCCAAATCCCGACCACGCTCATTGATATCACGTGGCACTAACGAAAGGTTTATTATATTGTTTATTTCAGATCAAGCAAAGCCACAACTTACCTCTTCTGGCCAATCTGGTATCAGAGTCCGTGTCCACGAACAGCTTCATGTGGAACAGTTCGCGTATCTTGGGAAAGTAAAATACCAGGATGCCCTCGAACAAGACCACATCGGCTGGGTAGATAACCAAAACATTTTCAAAGTCGCTGAGGGAAAAACAACATATTATTAGAACTTATGAGATAACACTTCAGTATATGTATATAAACGACACTTACAGCGAGTTGGTGCGATAGTCGTAGCTGGGTATCTCCACTTTGTGGCCCTTCAGGATGTTCTGAAGCGTGCTGTACATGAGCTCCTCATTGAAGGCATCCGGATGATCGAAGTTAAAGAGGCCCTTCTGGGCCTTGGCCTTCTCGGCGGGCGTCAGCTCGCGGTAGAAGCTGTCCTGGCTGATGGACACCACCTGGCGCTGCGTGTGATCCATTTCCGCCTGGCCAAGTTGCTCCATGATCTTCATGCACACAGTGGACTTGCCGCTAGCCGTTCCGCCGGCCACGCCGATCAGGAACGGGGACTTGACCTCGTCGTTGGCTGCTGCTCCGTCGCCATTTGGCAGTCGCAGCGTGTCCGCGTTTCTCAAATCTTGCATTTCTCTTTTACAATAGTAAAATAAAATGCTTCTACTTCACGCAACAGCTGATTACTTTCGAGATGGGATTACCACTGGAATGGTATCGGTAAGTCCAATATCGTACCCGCTTGGAGGCGCTGTTATCGATATTCCGGAAATGAAGCGTTACCACGCTGGCTAAAATTGCAAAAGACGTTACTTTTACCTAATTAAGCTAATTTTAAAACATTCGTGAACATAACTATTTGCCAATCTAATTTTGTGACTGAGCAAATAGACAGTGCAAAATCTACACATACATGGACTGTGATAACGCCGGCGCGTTGAGATTTGAAAACAATTTACCAGCGCATTGGAATTGGAAATATTTGCACAGCTTGGCTTTTTGTTTGAATGCCTGAGAATGTTTTTTTATACTTGTATTTGCATAGTAACTGTTTCTGTATTACCAACTTGCTGGCGGTAATATGCCAGTGTCTTTTTAAAGCCCAACTATGAAGGCTGCTCTAGATCTCAGTCCCTGGAGTTTGTTTTACTGGCTTCTCCATAGTTTCTTCATAATTTCTGTGCTTAAGTCCTGTTATGCAGTGCCCATTGTCGGAGGTCGCATCGTATCAACCGTGGGCAGTACTTCACTACATTTTTCAGCTTAGACCTTTAATTTAAAGCTCCACTTTCACTTAAAGGCAGCACAAGTAAATATCCGTTCATGGTCTCATTGCAAGATGTAATCAGGGGAAATACCACGAATGGAGTTTCCTATCAGCACTTTTGCGGTGGAAGTCTAATAAGCGATCGTTGGATTCTATCCGCAGCTCACTGCGTTTGGAGGAAGTAAGTTGGGATCCTCCTAATACATTGACTATATCTAGTTTGCTCTTTTTCCAGAAACATTCACAACATTGCTGCCTTTATTGGCTATGAGAATATTGAAAACATTGGCCAGCTGGATCCATATGGTCTGGAAAGCGTCGAGTATATTTACTTCCAACCGTGAGTAATCACTTGAGTCAAGTTTAATACTCCCCTTTACTGGAGATTTAGATTTTGGAGAGATTCTTTTCTTAAGAGGAAATCTCTATAATCTATATCAATGTCAATAGCGCAGATTATCTTATATGGCAGATCCAACTACCGGAATGACATAGCTCTGCTTTATATGAAACGCCGATACTGGAGTGCTTTAGGCAATGGCCTACAGTACGCCCAACTTCCCCCACATGGCATGAAACCGGACCAAAATGGTATGATTATTCAGCACCCCATTTGGGTGAGATACTTATCCTTAGTTTCCATAGAATCCTGTCGCATCATTGGCTATGGAGCAACTCAGCATGCTGGACCCTGTCAGAAGAAACTTTTCGAGGCAGAAGTTCGCGTGATTGATAATCAAAAGTGCCGCGACATTATAGGACACATCTGGGCGCCACAGAACGGGGCAAATACGGTGTGTGCCCTGGGCAACAATCAGGACTCCTGCCAAGGAGATTCCGGGTAAGTCAGGGATTAATTGTTTAATTGTCAAATTAATTGTATCAAATTACAAGCGGACCCCTAATCTGTCCATATGGCGGCAAGGACTATATCTACGGCCTGGTGTCCCACGGACTCACGTGCGGCATCCAAGGCATGCCCAGCATCTATACAGTGACCAGGCCGTACTACGATTGGGTCCACCTACTGATGCAGTCCTAGATCTCTGGCGATCACGTATAAATAGTATATTTATTGTGCGGTATCAAACAGAAAAACATATATGAATATTCACTTAAACAATGCAGGAATAGCAGAAACTAACAACTTACGCTTAATTACTGTAGGTATTATATAGCTAGATTTATCTTAGACTAACTAACCATTTTCACGACTTTGCTTATCAGTTCTGTTTTTTCTTTAGAGCACTTCGCTCTCAACCATTAATAGTTTTCTTAAACGTGTTTTCCGATTGTAAAACATTTTAAATAGCGAAAGCTGCCTGGAGGTACAGAAGTTTTTAGGTGTAATAGCTATTTTGGTATTCCTTAAAAAGTAGTTAATCAATTTAAAGGGTTTCCATCTGCACTGCTGACAAATCGTGTCGTGGAAAATGGACCTTACCTACTGCTGTCATCACTGTTTCTCGGCCGGCTCCGTCGGAGTGGAGGACGCACTGCTCTCCACTTTGTCGGACAGCTTTCCCGTTCCCGTTTCCGGAAGTGTGAGAGTCAGGAGGCCAGCTACTAGAACGCAGCAGCCGCAAATCGTTGTTGGAATGTACCAGCCCAGAGCTCCGAGGACATCGACCACGTACGGTGCCGAAATGGAGCCCACATGGGCGAAGGTGGAGCAGGTTCCCAGTGCGGAGTTGCGTATCTGGGTGGGATACAGCTCGGCTGTATAGAGAGTGACCACGGAGTAGGTGGCACTAATGCCGAAGCGACCCAGCATGGCGAAGGCCACGATCCAGGTGGTGCTGCCGGCGGGCACAGCAAGGACCAGCAGCAAGGACACGCCCGTCCACAGGAACAGGAACATGGTGGTGAGGCGACGGCCCGTGAAGCGGAGCATTATCACAGGGACGAGATAGGAGGGTATATCCACCAGACCGGTGCCCACGATGTAGAGGTACCTGGATACCGACAGATTGGCGGCATTGAGAGCTGCAGGAAAAACTGAATGTCATAACCTATATATCAAAGCATAGAGTGCACCCACCCGTCACATAGTAACTCAGCGAAGTGACGCAGAACATGAAGTACGAGGCGAAAATCATCCTGCGCACCCTGGCATTGGCATACAGCTCGATGATGGACTTGAGGGGACCGTTCTTGAGCTTCTGACCAAAGGAGAGTGCCTCTTCCGGCTCCAGCTGCAATGGCAAAATATTCCATGAGCACTCCACTTAGCAATCAGATGCACTGATCGCAACATATGTATATGTTTCAGGGACGTTGCACTCACCGACTTCTTATCGCTGGCGACTTGAGATGGAGCTGCAACGGCTGGCTGAACTTGGTAGTGGCTGGGCTGCCTGAAGAGAATCTTGTAGACGCGATCATATCTTTGATTCGTGATCAGCCAGCGCGGGGACTCACACATCAAGCTGTGGGGAAAGTTCTGGGTTTCAGGATCGATTGATTTAAACGGGACTAGGATCACTCACTAGCAGTTTAGAATGAGCAGCAGCGAGGGAATGGTGAGAGCCAGTTGCAGATGCCTCCATGGCTGGATGATGTAGCCCACAATGGCCAGGATAATCATGCCCACCGGATAGGAGGCCGAGAAGGCAATGGACATCCAGGAGCGATGCTTCAAGCAGATGTTCTCCACAACTAAAATAATATACACAAGCTAATTAAAGAAGTACAAGATGTAGTGCGAACTCACTCATGGTAAATGCTGGATAGAACAGACCGGAGGAGGCTGCGCCCAGGGCGAAACGTCCTGCCAGGAAGAGGCTGTACCAGGGCGAGAAGGTACAGAAAAAGCTGCCCACAATGAAGAAGGCAGCGCCCAGGGTGAATGAGGTCTTGCGACCAAATCTGCAGGGAAACCAATCATCAGTTATCGGCATACCATTACCAAGGAGCTAAGCTAGACCCACTTGTCGGCCAGAATGCCAAAGGAGAAGGATCCGCAGAACTTGCCCAGCGAAATGGAAACCTGGGCGGAGGTACGCTGGATGCTCCGGTCGCAGGTGAGATCCCAGTCCGCAACGAAGGTGGTCTCCGGATGGGCGAACTCATGTTGTCCCTTCACGCGGCAGGACACCTCCGCCGGCTGGGCAATCTGCGAGAGATGGCTGGTGTAGTTCAGGGCCGCCTCGTAGGACATCTTGGCCAGGTGGCCATAGTTCCAGTCCCACACGGTGCAACCGCCCGTCTCCAGTCCCTTGCCGACGATCTCCCGCCTCTGGGCCAGCGTCCAGTTGGTGTCCTGCAGCTCCGGAATGCCGCACCACTGGTCATCGGGCAGGTGGCCCAGCAGAGTGTAGGACGAGACATGGAAGCCATTCAGTATGTTGGGGGTGACGCACAGGAAGAAGATCGCCCTGAAGGGTGAGACAAGTGCGTAGCAGTTACACCTGGTAATTTGCCAATTAGGTATATTTCACTTTGCTGCTAATTGGGCCTTGTTTTCGCTGATACTCGTTTCTCGTATCCGGATAAATTGTTTACAACACGCAACTCCAATCGAATTGGTGGCACATTGACACCGCCTGGCTAACTGCTCATCGGAATGCAAATAATAGCGCCGATCAAAACAACGGAGTCAAAACAAAGCTGTGAAGGTTGTGGGCGAAATATTCGGTGGTTATGGGCTATGTATGCTGATCACATAATCACTTAATGGCAGTTAGAGATTCGCCAGAGAGCATTCGTTAACCATTATACAAATCGGGCAACCGGAACGCTGTGCGCCTTATTTACATATCCGTTGGACTTTTATTTTCACGTGACTCCCCACCCAGCAGAAACCACGTAGTCATCAGCATTCAAGTCAAGAAGCAGTAGGACTTCCTCCGCTGAATCAGTTGAATGTCCTCTACTACGGAACTCAGAGATCATAGCAAATGGGACTGGTGCCATGGCGTCCATAGAGATCTGGGAAATGGAACCGGTACTCGAACCCACATCGCCCGATTTCAATTCACAAGTCTTATCAACGACGATTAAGCCGAGTGGAAATGTATGACTACACATATTTAATGTATATGCACACTGATATGCCAGATTTCCGTGCTATATTTAAACGCCATGCCGACGATCGCTCACATGACCGTTGGCCCCTCGACGGCATCCAGCTGGATGAGTCTTCGATCCCGGCCCGAAATCAGCACCAGGAAGCCCCTCTTCTCGGTGTAGCATACCTAATCGAGCTGCGGCAAAAAGCTAATTGATTTTAGCTTGAATTGAGCTGACCAGTTCAGTTCGTGGCTAAGAAGGGGGCTATAACTCATGCTCAGAGCGCTCAGTCAAGCAGAAAAAGCAATTAATCTGTGTTAGCCAGGCCAGGGGAGAAAAGTGCACCACCCTGAGTAATGTCAACGAATTCTAAACACCCAACCTCCAAAGAGCTGGTTCACTGCATTCATTATGAACTGGGTCAAGTGGAACGTGATTCGCGCTGAGTTGAAAGGTGCCTTCCTCAACTTCGATCGAATTATGGCAGAAACATGACTCCTTTACTCCAATGATCCGAATCAAATCGCCAGAAGTTGTAACCCACATTATCAACTGCTCCCAATATGCAGTATTTACTATTAAGTATGGCTGCTGGTGGAGTTAGCTTACCACACAAATGCGCCTCCACTGCCCACGACTTCCAGCTGCTTGGTGAGCAGATCCTTCATGCCCTCCTCGCTGATCGCCTCGCGGCTCTTCTCCGGATTCTCCTTGGATCGAGTCATGACCGCCAACTGCTACTTGGGGTGTTCTAAATCCGAATCCGCTGCGTTGATAATGATGTTGTATGAGGCGGACGAATGGTGCAGTTTGCTCGGGAGGATTTGCAGATTTGTCGCTGCCACTGAACTTGAATGGCTTGGCGGTGAAATCTATTTTCGAACTCGTGCAAAACAGCTCTACGGACTTGAATTCTGATACGGTCCGGGCTTAGGAACCAAGTGTGGTGGCTCCGATTCGCTGCAGTGCATTCACTTCGGGCGAGGTGCTGTAGATAAGAGCTCGATCGATATATATGTACGTAGCTGCACACTTTCACTTTCGCCCTCGACTGCAGGTCGCTATATTGCTTATATTTGTATTTTTTGGGAGGGCGCTTTGCTCCTGCAGCGGCTGTTCATCTATAGTTTCTGTATTCTGCGCCTATTTTCTGTTTATGTTTTTCAATTGGTAGTGCAGCACATGGGAGCGCTTCACTTTTGACGGACGGCGACACGTTTTCCTCGCTCTGCTTTTACTACGCGCTTGTTGTTTTCGAACCGAAAGCGCCCAAGTTAAAATAAACATGAAAGTGAAAACGAAAATGAAATGATATTTTTTCCGCTGGGATATTCTGTCCACTGCCTTGTATCTGTGGGATTCGATGGTGCAGCGCGTGCAGTTGCGTTGCCTGCCGCTCTTCGCCGATCTTCGCTACCAACTACTTGTCGCTTCGGGAGCGTCTCACAAACTAAGCCCACGGGAGGCCGATCGCAGCGTTTTGTACGCCGCCGCCGCCGCCGCCGCCGCCGCCGCCGATCCGATCCGATCCATTGGAAGATTGGGGGGTTGGGGCGCGGAGTGGCTGGCCAGGAGGAGGCACTGGGGCGGTACTAGCATCGCACTCGGTCAGTGCCTTAGCAGCGCCGACTCGCTCGCAATCGCTCGGCTCTATGCGATCCATGTACTCGGATCTATGTTTCTTACTTTTTGGATTCGGGTATTCGGCGGCATAAATAAAAAATATATTAATATTAAAATCACAGTCGCTGAGCGTCCAAAGGGAGGAATTCTTAGCGAATGTCAATAAGTGCGCACTCTACAAAAAACCCGAGAAAGCTCTGACTTTTTGAAACAATTGTATATTTTTGAAACAAAGCAAAGCTGTTTTCGTGGCAGCTGTTGTCCAATTTCCAAAATTAGTATAAGCGTATAATTGGACTTCAGATGTGGGCGTTTGCATAATTCCACGATTATTAGGGCTAATGCAATTACGTTTTTTGGCTACTAAAATTGCCATGCAATATAGAAAAACATGACATGACAGTTCAAAATTGTGCATATATAATTTACCACAGTATTCTGGCAAACAAAAAAAGCATTTCTCATTGAAAATGCGTAGGAATTTAAATACACTCCCGAACACTTGAACACATGGTCCCCAAATCCCAAAGATTCCATTACAATCGCGCTACCCGAACCCCGCGATATATTTACATTAGCAGGCCGTTTAGTGCTGTTGTCTCTGAATTTCATTACCATTTTCCCAGTGGCTTTCTTGATAATGTGCGAGAGTCGGCATTGTATACATGTTCTGTGTTTTGTGTTTTCGAGTTGCGCTATTCGAAATTCCCTAGGAGCAAACGCTTGGAGCGAAAAGAGCGCACTTCTGAATGGAATTGTGTGGCATACGATGTGGAAATGACTTTGATATTCTACTGAGTAGTTTGTGAATGAATCCGGGCTGGCATAGAGTTGGCAGTGAAACCAACTCGAACCGGAACTCTAAATCGCTGGGGCGGCACCGAACCAGATCTCTACGCAGTGATCCCCATTATCAGGTGATTCGATTAAGGTTAACCCGCCTTATCGCAGCGGGCGCATCCAGAGTCCTCAACTCTGGCCAAGATCAATTGAGCTCAATCAGTCGATCGACGTCAATATCTTAACTGCTAGCCCTGCGGCGGAAGATGGAGATTGACATTGAGGGGCAGGGTGATGGCCTGGGATCGCATTGTGGGGCAAGCTATCCAGTACGGCTATACGCGTAATATACCCTTTCCCCCATGCCAATTATGATTTCCTTTGTTACCGCATTCTAATTTTAGCCTCGCCACAATTGCCGCTCACTTGTTCGCTCGGCTTAATTCGCTTCCCAGGCGCATTCTATTCATCCGTAAGTACGCCGTACTAACGGTTCTGGCCATACCCCCATGTATTCCATACGAGCACACTCTAGTCTGAATTAGAGCTTTAGTTGGTGATGGCTCGTGGGCGTGCCTCCATTAGCAATTCGTTTGGGCTGGAACCCGGCCATCAATTCGGTTCCAGATCCTCATTGTTTTTCAAACGCACGTGCAGCTGGGTGCGGATGTGTACTGTTCAACTGCAAGACCCATGGGTAGCCACGATTCCGGCTTGTTTGCTCAATCCTATGCACTTTCAGGTCAGCGGTCCATTCAGCGCCAATCTAATAATATCACCCCATCAACGTAATCGCCCAGCATTCTTTATAATCTGATATGCTTTGTCAGAGGGCGATGTATTGCAATTTAAGGAGATTCAAGCCCAATTTAAATATAGCGCAGCCTGCAGTGCACAGCAAATAAAGATAGCTTTTTCCTAGTTGCACTTTATTTTAACTAAATTTTCAAAAGAAATATAACAGCGTAGAATTGCTGATTATAATTGAGAAACGCATCTGGAGCAGTGACTGACCTTATAATTAAATGCTTTTGCACATTAAAAGTGATCCACATTAAATGATCTGTGTGTTCCTAACTACTCACCCCCGCAGTACACATTCTATGGAAACCTTTGAGATGATAATTTCTACTTATAACGACAGCGTAATTTGCCCATCCAGGCGTTGGCGAAGCTTAAGTGAATGATTGCCCGGAATTGTTCACGAATTCATAGAAATCCAGCCGTTGCTGAAATGAGCACACTTAAAACATTCCAGCCGAAGGCTGATTTTCGAGACTAAGACTCCGACTAAGACTCCTCACTCAGGCATTCAAAAACGACACTTTAATTGCTGCAGATACAAATACTTGTAGGTGAGGTAAGTCCTTAGAACGCCCTGGCATAACCCAAGTTCAGCAGCCAGATGAGTCCGAGCACAAAGAAGCTGTAGAAGGTGACGTTGTAGAGATTGAGGCGACTGAGGAGCCCCCGGATTCTGCCGCTGGAGACAACGTCCTGGGCACTCTTTGGCCGCTCCACGAGCATGTCCTTCCAGCTGACCACCTGGGGTCGCACCACAAAGACGGCGTTCACCGCCGCCCGGAAGCCACTCTGCACCGCACCGCCCATCATAGTGCGGTAGCTGGTGCCCACGGCCGAGGAACTGGACCAGATGACCCGATGCCAGGGCTTGGTCTGCGGCTTGTGCTGCGCCACATTCAGCTCATCGGTGGAGCACTGGCACTCCAGTGGTCGGCGCATCTCCTCCCCGAAATGCTCGGCCAGCAGATCGACGACATCCTGCAGAACTTCGTCCTGATCCTCCGGCGAGTGCAGCACGTAGCCGCAAAAGCTGGACATCCGACACTCGTGCCCACTGACCAGCGGCTGGGAGCTGAGAAAGTTGCCGGAGTAACCGAGATCCGTCCAAACGGACTTGCCGTACCGCAACTGGAACTGGCTGATCAGCTGGCGGCGCTTGTGGCCAGATTTGGATGTCGTCCGCGGCTGGTAGGCCTTTGGTATGCGGGGCTCGAAGTCCAACTTCTGCACCTTGTTCCAGGGAATGGCCAGGATCGCCGCCTGCGCCGTGTGCTTGTTGCCCTGATCATCCGTCACCTGGACGTAGTTCTTGAAGTGCTCCACTCTGACGGCTCTGCAGTTCAGAGTTATCGTGATGAACTGCAGCTGCTCCAATATGCTCTCTATCAGCCTCTGAGTGGATATCTCATAGAAGCTACTCGGGTAGGTAAAGTAGCTACATAAAGGGGTGCATTATCATTAAATAGGTTAATTAAAACGGTAGCAAATCAATCAAAACGCAGTTGGCTACGTGACCTATAAGGTATAAGTATTTCAGTCGGGTAATCAATCAATTTCATCTGGACTGCAAGTTAGATGTGCATTGATTTTTAGTTTGTTGTCTAACCATGTATACTATATCCAAAGTACTACCCTTATGTTTGAATTGCTGTTTTTAGCCATTTGCACACCGTTGTTTCCAAAAAGTATGACATAAATACAACAATGTATTATGTTTTAAAAACACTTAACTGTCAGAAGCTTAATCATAAAAAGGAAGCAGAAAAATACAGACAGCAAGTTTTTGTTAGGTATACAACTAACTTGTAGTTTGAAGTACTCTAGCATCTAGCCACTTACAAGTCAATTAGCATTTTGAGGCCTCCACAGGAGCTGCAGACGGACATAAAGACATCGTAGTCCACCTCATTGGCAGGAACGCCGCAGACGAGTTCCACCAGATTGAGCATAAAGTTCCTCGACTTGCTGAAGAACAAATTGTGGCATATGTGCTGCTCCATGTTGGACACTCGCTCCCGCAGACTAGAAAGTGATTCGTAAATGATTCCTTTGCAAAATAAACAAATTGCTTGATATTCCAACCCACCTGAAACGTTTCGAGCGAAACTTGTGCATCCGCAGGTCCAGCATCTCGATGTATCGTCCAAGCTCGAACTTGGCCGGCAGAGCTGTGAGTCCACGATCCAGATCCCAGCATCTGCGAAGCCTGCCACTGACGCTCCTCCGCCGCCGCGGGGACAAGTGGATGATGGTCAGCAGGGCCAGCATGTCCTGCTGTGCTCCATCCACCAGTCGGGTGCTATTCTGGCCCATAAGGCCGCCCAAGCCATCGCTCGCCTCAATGATTCTCACCTTCAGCGTGCTCTCCAAGGATAGGATTTTCAGGGCGGAGGCCAGGCCCGAAAGACCGCCGCCCACAATCAGTACATCTAGTTCCGGGGTCTGTGTGCCAAAGGGCAAATCCATTTGGAACGGCCAACAATTTGTATTTTCATT